AACCGCAGGTCAAGCTCACCGTCATGCATGACGATGGTTGTATACGCACATTTACGGCAGGGCTCTTTGAGCACCCGGTGCAGACATCATTGCCATGTCGTATAGTGACACGGGCCATTCATGCACCGTATGGAGATGACACTGTTGAGACCATTGACATACCTATGTTCGATGGGCAGTGGATTGTATGCTGTGACACGGATACGCAGGTGTGTAAACATGAACATTCTTTTCAACAGGAGCTGACCCAGGGCAGCCTAAGACGAAGGAAGTTATAGTGTTCCGGATGGGAGGGTAGGAAATTATTGCAGCTATTGTTTGTCTATTATCATAATTCAACTCTATACTTTCATCCTTTTCTTTGACTCAGGCTGGGAAATTTCAATTTGAATGCTAGAAGTGGTGTGACATTTGATACAAAAATATGAGTACAAATTATTTCCTGATTAAGAAGTTCTTGGCACTGCTTTTTTGGGACAGGATTCAAGTAAAAATAGTGGGACATGTGAAAAAATTCCGGATTTTATAATCATTGTGATGTGTGACATACGGACTGATTGAATACAACAGTATAAGAAGCTAACTTAATCCGGATCTAAGTCTTAAGTAGCCACATAGTGTGGCATATTATACTTGTCTACTGTATTCCGCAGGTCGTCTAATTTGGTATCCATAATACAGTACACATCTCAGTAGTTTTTCCCTTCATATATAAGTAAGCTAATTTCAAAACTTTAAAGTTTGGAAATATAAAAAACGGAAGGTTAGTTATCAAATGTAGGCAATAGCATGGGTATGTCATACCTCCGTGGGTATACAGGTACTGTACTATTTCGATTAATTGTTTGTGTTACAGGTTACGCGCGGTCCCAGCGCGGACACCTGCGGCCACCGTTATGCATTCAAATCTGATTTGCCATCAAATCCAGGCCTAAAAAGGCAATTTTCATTCTCCTTCATTAGGGGCCTGAATGGGGCTTTCAGTCTGATGGGGTCCTGATTGGACTACTGGCATCACGGCAAGGGGGTAAAAACATTTACAATTCCCTTACAGGAGGTCACCCTGTTGTTATCAACTCTGATATTGATATATTTTCACCCAGCAACTCTGGGAAAAACCTTGTGCAGATGCCATACTAATAACTATATCCATTACTCCTATATTACGCAGATGTCATGTGAATGTATGCACATATTTGGCACTAGCCTTAACAATTTATTTGCTTCCACATTTCCATTTTTGGGGTCACTGCTGGTCAAGGCGCAAATTGGAAACAAAAGCTGTACAATGTGACTAGCGATGGCCAAGTCCGGTTTGGTCTGGTTCTTGGCCATTTTTGGCCAAATGCTGGACCGCCAGTTCGGTTCAAAATCAGATTTGGCCAAACGTGAATGCCGAACGTGTAAGGGGAGCATGTGATGTGACAGCTGTGACAGATCACGTGACTGGTCCGTGCGCAGATAGCCCTGTACTTGAGTAGTTGGCCATGGGGCTGTTCCCCCGGCTTTGGTATCAACTAGGCACCTGGACCCTCATCCCCTGACAGCATACCAAAGCCTCTACATCGACTCTGGCACTCTTCTAGCCCCAGTTGATCCTCTCTATCTCCTATATTCGTCCTCACCCTACTGTGCAGCCTGTGCTTGCCTGCTCTTCTCCAATGACGACTCCTGGCGTCCCTGTTGACCTGTATTCGTACTGCCTGCTCCTGCAGAGCGAAATTACTCGCCTCACCGACCGTCTAGACCGCCTTGAGTATGGTACGCCTGCTCCACCCCCTGCTCCCCCTTCCCCTGGTCCTATGTTCCACGGTGTCTGGGATGGCAGTCTCTGGATTCTTTCAACAGTCCCGGCCCCTACCCCTGCCGTCATTGCTGCCGCCCACACTTCTATACCACTTGCCGAAACCTTCCCTCCTACTGCGCCTGATACTGTCACGCGCTTCTCTTGTACGCTTGTGGTGCCTGACTCGGCTGTCGGGCATATCGTGGGTCGTGGGCGGCAAGGGTCTCCACCAAGCTCACGACACTTCCGGTGCTCAGTTGCGCGCGTACTCTGATCGCGCTGCGCCTGGTGAGCGCCGGGTCTCTATCCGGGGAACCGACCAGCAAATCGGTGAAGCGCTTATTGCGCTTGGGAAACGGTTTATGCGCAAGCGTGTCCGTGCGAAGAAGCAACGTCAGCCACCGTCTGCTGAGGGACCTGCCCCCCTCCTCCTGCCGCGTCTGTGCCTGTACCACATGCCACGAAGATGGATGTCGACCGTGCCCCTCCGCACCGCTTGTCCACCGTGATCCACGCCCAGTCTCAGGTGCCCCTCTTCCCGTCTTCCCTACCCCGGCAGCCTGCTGCCGCCACTACCCAACCTATGCAGGCTGCGGCACCATCTCTTCCTACCCCCCAGCCTTACCCTACTCCCTTCGCACCCTCGGTGGTTATGGCCACTCCGTCGGCGCTGACCAGCGCGTCACCTACCCCGATCGGCTCTCCTATGCAGATCGACGTAGCTCACGCCCGGCCGCATAACCGGCAGACCGCCCGACGAGGGGGCGTACCTGCGCAGTCATCGCGCGTCATAGGCGACAACCTCTATTTCCCTGGCGATCCCGAATATGAGTTCGCAGAACCCTACACTCTGCCTATCCGTCGAGGCGACGGATCTTGAGGAGGGGTTGGTGTAAGGGGAGCATGTGATGTGACAGCTGTGACTGATCACGTGACTGGTCCGTGCGCAGATAGCCCTGTACTTAAGTAGTTGGCCGTGGGGCTGTTCCCCCGGCTTTGGTATCAACTAGGCACCTGGACCCTCATCCCCTGACAGAACGGTGGTTCGAACCGGCCCCAAACTGGCACTTTTTGGCCCAAAATGGCTGAACCTGGTCGAACCGAGGGCCAGGTTCGGTTCGGAAAGGGTATTTGCCAAACCTGAACACCGAACGCATGTTCAGTCCAGTCCGGTTCGGATTCGAACCGAAATCCTGAACCGGACCTGGCCATTGCTAAATGGGACCAATCTTAATTGGGATACAAAGCTGTACATGATATCCTGCACCCAGTACCATAAAAACATTATATCTAGGGCTGTTGACCATGCTGAAACCTAAGTGTATACTAAGTAGTGCTGTCCACAATTATATTATGCTAGAATATATTTTGCATATATGCTAATAAATATGATTATATCATGCCCTCTGTATATTCAGACCCATTGAATATGAGTGATTATGATTATGATTATATTATGCATATAATATATTATACACTGGCCATAATTGATTATATTCAAAAATACACCAGCAAGCCGTTCAGCCAGAAGTACTAGCTTCATAGCAGGCTACTAGTAGCAGTAGCAACATCTTTAAACTCAGTCTTTGCAATATCAATGGCTTTTAGCAGTAAATCAGGCAGAGCAACATCCACATCCAGCCCTGACAGAAGGCTGCAGTTGACCTTTACATTGTTGCCCTGGACTTTAATGGCACTCTTAGCTGGTCAAGGTATCATTATCCAGGCTATGTTACCAATCCTGGTCATTGCTACAAGGAGCATGTCTGTAGAGGCAAGGTGAGCTCGGGTTGGCGCGCAGCAGGATGGCCTATGGCCGGCTGAGATAAGGAGCGGAATGACAGTTTCGCATTGGCGGTGGACGGGCGTTGCAGGAGAACGAGCAGGTCCTGCCCCGAATCTATCGCACAGTCGTCGCCGTCGGCGTCCAGCCCCAGCTCGTGTTTGGTCAGCGCCGCTCCGGCCGGTGCCGGCGGGGGTGGCAGTTAAGAGAGACAAAGCATGCTGAGTTGCCTGTCGAAGTCCTTGTTGTGCATAGCAAACACGCCGCATCAAGAAGCAGCGTGCGGCAAAATTCCATGTTCTCCATTGGCACAATGTGCTTTTCGCTCCAGGTGAACGTGCGCCAGGCGTCCCAATGCTTGCGCAGCCGCTCCAGGCTAAGCGCCGAGGTGCTCCCGTGCGAGTTTCCTGCCAGCAGCCCATCGCGCCACAGCTTGCACATGTACTCCAGTGCAGGAGTTGTCATGACAATGCTGTGCCAGCATCTACACACCCGCATGCACGGAAGCTGCGCCCGCGGGTGCAGGAATCCCAGTATGATTGTGAGGATTTCAGGCGCCAGGGTGTTCATGGTGAAAGTTTGGGACAACCAAAGTTTTATCGATGATCGTCTTATGACGACTACTTATCCATGATTAACATTGATTGACGTTTGATTTAAGCTAGATAAAGCAATCTGCCAAATCAACTATGTAAGTGCAGCGCAGACAGTTAGTGCTGGCCAAATATGATTATATTATTTTATGGCATAATATATTATAATCATATCATATTCAGAGCTCCAACACAATAATATATTTGTAGTATAGTATAATCATATTCAGCTGCAAAATATGAATATGTGATGAATATATTCAACTATAATCTAGTATGCATATATACTGCTAGAAGAAAAAAAAAATACATAAGATACATGCTGGATTGTCAGGGCAAATTCCTTTGAGGCCTCTCTAATCCCAGCCTTGGATACATAGGACTCTCAAAATACAATCAGGGCATTGCCACTAGTATTAGGTTGACCAGTGATCACTCCTGACCCTTGTTCCTACTAGGAGTAATGTATGAATCACCATATATGATAGATAATATGTGACATTTATCAGAAGTAGGGCTAACTCAGACTAAGATCAGTACTATAACTGACTACATGCATTGAGAAAATAGCGGTGATCATCTATCTTGCTATAGTTGAATATTCTGTGACTATAATATAGTATAGTCATAATATAATATAATATAATATATTCAAACATAATCGTATTCAAGTGCTCCACCAAGGGCATAATATATTCATAACATTCTGAATATATTCAATAATTAATCAAACATAATATAATTCTGGCCAGCACTACAGACAGTACACGAGTAAACTAAGTATACAGAATACATGCCTCACCCGCCATCATTTGACGAAAGTTTTCCGCCCAATCAATCAATCCAGATTCATCCCCTTCATCCCGAGCCCCCCTGGCCGAGCCCGCGAGTGAACGGCAGGATCAACATTCGCCGCTGGCCCACCGCGGCCGAGCCACCGCGCAGCCATATCCAGCGCGTTGTTCGCAATGTTCTGGCCCAGCGCATGGGCGCGAAAGCCAGGGCCCGCGTTGCTGTGCTCGTATACCGCCCACGGCTGAGCCGGCGGGAAATTGCGTCCGCGCCCAAGGCCGGTGCGCCAGTCCGCGAGGGGCCACGCTGGTCTGACAAGGGAGGCGTGGAGCGGAGGGGACGGCACCCCGGGAATCCCTGTCGACCCGAATCCTGGTGTCGGCGGCGCAAAAGGCGGCACGGGATACGCGTGTGGCCTGCCCGGGGGGACCGGGGTGCACATTTCGGATGCGACCAGCACCACTGCGGTCTCCTTGCTTCGCCCGGCCGTCGACGGCAGCAGCGCATGGGCCGGGAGGGCCTCCGCCGCCGATATGGAGGTGTAGACCTCCGCAGAAGCATAATTGGGTTTGCGCTCGATGTGCGCAATGGAGGCGGTTAGTAGTGAGCATCCTATCTCAGCTTCGAGGTTAAGCTGATAAAAGGGGTATGGCGTTGGGATGCTGCCGCGCGAAACCCGCCCCAGCGACGGGTCATTTGCGTGAAACGCGTGGACGGAGGTGTCTTCGCCAGTGGTGGTGTAGAGTCGGTAGTAGACTTGCGGCATTGGTCAGTCAGGAGCGAGGTAAAAAGGCATGTAGTACGCACAGTATTCTCCCGCATTCTCTTCCCCAGTTTCTCCCACATGTTCTGCCCTTGGGCCTTCCTCCACCATCGTGGGCATGCAAACGACACACGGCCGGCCCGGAGAGCCAAAGTCACCGATGCGCTTCGTATCAGGTAACGGCTGGGGTTCATCCTCATCCACATACACAATTACCGCCACGGACGCGGCAATGGGCAGTCCCTCGAGGCTGGCAATGCAACGCTTCAGCACTGCAACGGTCCGTGGTGGGGGGATGGCGCGGAGCAGGACGCGGCCAAGCGTGGGTGCTGTGAGTTGGAAGGCAGAGTGGGAGGGGCGCGCGTTGGGTGAGCGGAGAATGTAGTAAACTGGACATCGGTCATCATGGTACCAGGCTGAGAAGATGACACACCGTAGTCCGTTGTCTCGGATGGCGATCCCGATGTGGCGTCGCTGTAGGACGGCGGGTCGGCGGTTTCGTCAGTCTTGACGATGAGCATGTTGGATGGGAGGGAAAGGTGAGTGCTGGTGTCGAGGTTCTTATGACTGCGCGTCCGCAGCGCTGGTGGGAACAACTGATGGCTCGTGCTTCTGGTGGCGTCTATCACATTCGCGCGCGGTACTCGCAGGGCGGCAGGCACCAGCGGTCGCGCGGCGGATTGCGACGCGGAGGTCGAGATGGGTGTCGATGGACAAGCCGTGGTGTCACAGTGACAAGTGACAAGAATCGTACGATGTCACGATCGAATCATCACTTCTTTTTCTCAGCTTCCCTCATCCCGCGCTCCGAACGTCGCCGGCTATTCAATACAGAAGTGCTTATAGACCGCAGTCACGGCGCTTCACTCCTTGCGCTCGTCGCTCACCATGCGGACTGCGCTCGTGCTCTGCATTGCCCTCCAAGCCGCCGCCAGCGCATCGCTAGAGAGCTTCCGCGTCGGCGGGCCCGCTCCACACTACCAAGGACAGGACCTCATCGATGGATCGCAACAGGCGCTCACGCTGCCTTCCGAGCCTGTACTTGACGCTAAGCTCGACTCTGCCATCGAGAAGATTCTCGCCGACTTTCACAGTCCAGCGGGAGTAGGCATCGCCATAGTGCGAAAAGACGCAGGGGGCGAGTGGGCGGTCCAGGCGAAGGGATATGGAAACGCGACGTTGCGCGGCATGCAGGCCACGGGCGACACACTGTGGGCCATCGGCTCCAACTCGAAGCTCTTCGATGTCCTCGCGACGGGCTTGTTGGTTGCCAACGAGAGTTTGCGGACGAGAATTACCTGGGAGACGAAGCTCGTGGATGTCGTGCCTGAGTGGGGCCTCATGGACCCGGTGGCGGACCGGGAGAGCACAATCATCGATATCATGAGCCATCGGACGGGTTTGCCTCCGCACGGTGCGTCTACTGTCTAGTTCTGTTCTACTGATCCAGTGTTAACCAAATCACCCAGACATCATCATACCCTCCGATACAGTCCCCGACACAATTCGCCGCCTGCGGTATCTCCGCCCGTCCACGGGCTTCCGCAACAAGTGGCAATACAACAATCACATGTACACCGTGCTGTCCTATCTGCCGCCCCTGCTCACGGGCATCCCCTTTGAAACTTATGTCGAAGACAACATCTTCAAACCATTGGGGATGTCCGACACAACCTACTACTCTACCGTCGCCGAAGCCACCGGGCGCCTATCGCAGGGCATCGAGCGGGACGGCGCCAACCGGACAGCGGACGTCTTTGCCCCGGGGACGCCACGTGCACTGCCCTTCTGGATGCCTAATGGCGCGCCGGGCCACGGTATTTATATGGTATGCACGGCCTGTCGGTTGTCTCACCCGCTTTAGTTATGTCTGGCGCTGGCGCCATCATCTCCAGCGCACGCGATATAGCGACATGGATCCAGATGCTGCTCAACGAGGGCAAGCACCCATACGAGAACACAACCGTGATCCCTGCTAGCGCGATTCGCCGGGTGTCAGGGGGAATCATGGTCACAGACCCTGTTGCCGCGTTCCCTGAGCTGTCGCCCAAGGTCTACGGCGGTGCTCAATGGAGGGGCACCTATCGGGGATTTGGTCAGTGCCTTGCCTTGGGAATCTCATATCATGCTGATGACACTATAGAGTACATTGAGGTTAATTCATTCAATCGCAAACTGTTTACAAGCTGACACCTGTGCTTGTAGCATGGGGGCACGACATTCGGCCATCATTCACAGATTACACGAGTACCCAGCCAGAATTTTGGTGTAGCAGTGCTTACCAATGACGACTCTCTTGGCGGCTACCTGGTTTCGGCAATTCGGTGGCGTCTACTCGATGAGCTGTTGGGTCTGGAACCAATCAATTGGACTGCTAGGTATATTGCTGGAACTAAATGATCACCTTTTCAATAATAAACCTGCAGGTTCCATGCTGCAATGACAAAAGCATTCCACTCCACTCCAAAAGCAATACCACGCTCTTCCAATGCAACACTTCCTACCATTCCCTTTCCTGATCTGGCAGGGATGTACACAGATCTAGGGTATGGTACAATGGAACTGTGCTTCTCACCAGAATCATCCACCTCATGCAATGAACTCCTACAAGAATGGCCAACAATCCTGCCTGGCACACTCAACTCCTCCATCCCTACTCTTGTTGCCCGCTGGCCCATAGTGTTTGGCCTGTCTCATATAAAGCTGGAGCATTTCTCCGGAAATGTATTCAATCTGACCATATTGGGCAGTCGGGTGAGGATTTTGAATTTTGCTGCATTAAGCTTATACTGTCACAGAAGATAGATGATCCTGACAAGCCCTTCTTCCCGAAGGTCATTGCAGATGTGAGTATGCAAGCTGAATTTGCATTGGATGGCCCAAAACTTGGAGTGGGCTTGTGTGGAGTCTGGGGGCCAGGGGATGATATTGAAGCTCCAGAAGGCAGTAGTGTGAAAGATAAAGCAGAGGTGTGGTTTGAAAAGTTATAAACAGAGCTCTTTTTCCTGTACTTTCCCCCAATTTATACATACTTCTGTCAGGGGAACCCCCGCTTCGGTCTCCTTCGGACCCTCCAAACGCATCTGAGGCGCATCCGACCGGGCGCCCCCTCGGACCCTCGGACCCACCCCAACCATCGTCCACGGCCTCCTTCGCCCGCACAATCACCGATCTGTCAAGACCCTCCCAACGATCACCTTGGGACAGAGCCTGCGATGCCGCTCAGGCCTTCTGCGCTCTACGTCGGCAGTTACGGACGACCAGTATATAGTTGGCACCCTAACAGGCGGACCCTTAGAGTTTCTTCTCTTTGGATCCTCCCCTGCTAGGTCGGTCCCTCCGTGTATTTCTGTAGCTTTTATTCACGCCTTTGGATCCTCCCCTGCTAGGCTTTTGTCGGGGTCTCCAGGGTTGCCCTTACAACTTCTTAATGTATCTGAATGATTGTCATTATCAGGAATCTACCAATTCCACTTCAAATTATGATGACCCTAGGCTACACATTCTAATCTCATATGAATAGGGTTGAGTACGTCTCAGAAGGCGCACCCTGAGTAACCCTTACCCTTCTGGGTACAGGTCCAACCAGGTTCAAGTTGACCCACAGGTTGTAGACATGGAAGCAGAAGATGTATTTGGAACAATAATTTCCATATAACATATATTTTGCTATATAATATTGGCTCAGATACAGCATATGTAGCCTATTCCTCAAGATTTTAAGCATAGTTAATACAGTTCACTCATATGTCACATGAGTGACTTGAGTGACCTGTAATTTCTTTGTCTCTTAAAAACTCACAAGAATTATGTTTAGATAGGGAATTGTTAAATCAACAGTACTAGATATTATATCTAGTGTAAGGTGCCTTTATGAGTTTGGCTGCTCTAACATGAGGCTCTGGTGTGCATCCTCTTAGCTCCCGGTCAATAGGGCACTAAGAATGCAATGCATTCACTCATCAGTAGCCTTTGATCTCCATCCCCTTTGAAAGATGAGCACAGATCTTTACCTAGAGCCTTAGTGAATAAAGTTGGAAGGGACTTCATTTGAAATGTATACCATGCTACTATCCCTAAGATTTATCAGTGATATTTTATGTCACTATTGCCTTGATTTATTCACTGCCAAGCATGCCTGAATACTAAATTGAGCAGTATTTTGCTGATTTCCTGGGACTACATACATGGAATCTTATGATCTAAGTTAATATGATATCATAGGATGGTCTAGCACACCTCCACCCATTTCCTACCATAGAGCAAGTGTTGGAGCTAGTTAATTCCCCAAAAAGGAAACATTGTTATTTAATAGTACAATCATTAGAGAATGTTACAGACTTACAGATTATCAATCTGTCAGGCTTCGGGTCGTGCTGTGCAAGGCTCCTCATAGGAACGTGCACCCCGGAACAGAACAGCAAGATCATCAGGCCCGCAAGTGAAGCGAGCTGAGTAGAATCGAACTGAAAGGGCCTGTTAATGTGGTCCCTTGGTGAAATCAGTGTCCGGGCCAAATCAGGCCATTTTGGGCCTGATGGGTCACTCCAGGCCAGCCTAGATTGATTGGGTTCCATTGACTTCCTCTAAAAGCTATTGAGACAGTGAAACACTGCTGAATATGCTATTATTATTACTCTTATATTGAGCTGATGTTGTGTGATGGTTTATGCATGTTTGGCTGTGCCTTCAAGTTTAGCAATTTATTTGTTACACCCTTCTATTTTGGGGCTCATTGCTGTTAAAGTCTAAACTCAGTAAGAAATGCAGTGAAACGCAGTCAATCTGGTGGTAGGTGGGGAAAGTGGAAACCCAACAAATACCCAAAATGACCAGATCAAAGCGAGTGAGGTTGGGGCTCCATATAAAGTATATACATGCTGCAATCCATAAGAAGGCAGTGATGATGGCAAAGCTGAGTGGGAACCATAGATAGTAGTGGTGCTGTGTGTGATGTGGGTGTGGGTAGATGAGACCTGCTCACCATATCATAAGAGGAAAGACCAGCCCCCTCTAACCACCAACTCAATATGCAACTAAACCCGAAACCAATACAACCTCCTCCTAATATAGTAGTCACAGCTATAGTGACACCGATTATATTTGTTGTTGCTGATATATTATCTGTTGTTTTTATTATTGTGTTGGATAGCACTGAAGCTAGCATCAAGAGCATCAAACAATATGCCATATATGGCAACAATGTTCCAGACATGATTTTGATGAATTTAACTAGAAATATGAATTTTATCGCCACTTTTGATCACACAATCAGGTCACATAATGAGCGATCATGGGAATATATTGCCCGATATGGTAAGGGGGAGAGGGGTCCCAGAAGGCCCTTAAAAACTTTTCGACAGTATATCCAATTTTCGAATAATGACACCTCCTTGGCCCAGGGAGGGGAATTCACTGTCTATCTAGGTACAAAAGGCCCCAATATATACCTTTTGGCCTATCACTCCATCACAGTGAGACGGGCACCTCGTACTGCCCCCGTTGCTCGTTCAGCCTCACATGGCTGTCCCCGTTGCCTCGTTTCCTTGACGCCTTAGTCAGGCTTAGGTGAGTGGCTTAGCTGAGCCTTACTAAGCCTTATTCAGCACTTCCTTCTTGTTCTTTCCCCACCTTCTCGTACCTTTGCGCACTTCCTATGGGTTTCTGCCGCATCGCCCGTGCTTCAGGAGCAAACTGCTAGTGTGACAAATCCTAAATGGGACATAAAGCTGTGAACAATTCCTACGGTAAATAGCGTAACCCACCTGGTCCTACCATCAACCCCCCCTCTTATCTCATGTCTGTGATAGGGATCTTGGGACCCCCTTGCCTACCATGACTAAGGCTATTTAGTATAATAATACCTGAGTGTATGCAAGTAGTCTCAATTTACCCGCAAATTGTTGAACAAGTAGATAAAGTTTACTGATGTGAGTTCTGGCAGTCCTGTTTGTGAATATACATGAGCATGTGTATGCTATTCTGTAGTTTGTAGCAATGTTGTCTAAATCAATAAATAATTTTATATTATAAAGTGTTTATTATAAATTCCACCTCAGTAAAGTAACATTAAGATTTAAAGCTGGGACATAGCCTAGCCCTGTCTAGTTAACGTTATAATTATCATTGTTATTATTTTGACAAATGTCAAAGCGCCGAGGGCATATAAATCACAGAATTCCGCGTCAATCTAGCAGTCGCCCACACAGAATACCTCCTAATAGTCCCGCAGTCCATATTCGGAGCGCCAGACGGCCTCCAACTCCGCCAACGCCTCTTCAGTGACGTCCATCCACCCTTCCCGCTCGACCCCTTCCTTGTCGAGCCATGTGCCGCCAACGATGTCGAAGCAGTGCCCCGCCCAAATGCCCTGGTATATGTTGCCCTCGTAGCGCATCGCTGTCGAGTCTACGCTGCTCCAGCATATCAGGCAGTGCAGCAAGTCCCCCAACGTCGTGTCCCACAGCCGTGGCACAGCTTTCAGCGCCCGGGGGTCGAACTCGGCGCGCAACTTCTCGGACCCGCGGAAGCGCTCACACATTTCTGCAAGCGCCGCCTCGCGAACGTACACTTTAAGTGTGAGGTTGCGGAGGACGGCGGTGCGCGGCGCGAGGGGCGGGTCGCACGTGATCGCGACGTCGAGGAGCGCGCTGCACACCCACATCGCGTCGCCTTGGTAATCTGCGAGTGACAGCACCGCGTTGCGCACAATTTCAGCCGTGCGCTGCACCCACGATGTCGATCCGCACTCCGTCCACCACCACTCCGGGATGCCCTTGTCGTCGTCCTCGTCGCCGTGTGATCGCGGTTTCTCGTCCTCCTCATCACTTTCGCTGTCGTCCGCCCCGGCCGGTCCGAGTCTGCCCGACGCATCTCCGCGCGCTCCTCCTTCAGCAATATATGCTCCGGCACTTCCCGGAGCGGCATATAGTCGCCGAGACACGCGATGCGGTCGCCCGCCCAATTGCACATGGCCGCAGTGTCCTGCACGAGGAGGGCGTACACGTGGCGGCGCCCGACGGCCCACAGCGCCTGGCAAGTCATCCCCAGCATGAGCCGCTCCACCGCGCCGTATATTTCCTCGAATATCGCGTCGAGCAGCTCGACGGGCAGCGCGACAATCCCCGTCGGCGGCACACTGCTCTGTTAGCACCCATCTGCTTCGGCAAATGGAAAGGGAGACACACCTGGAGCGCTGTGCCAGCCTCACCCGCCGCCCCCATTGGCCAAGTCGCACTTTTCTCCCGGGGACGTACTTACGGCTTTACACACTCGTCCAGCGGCCGGTGGGCGACCTTCCGCAGAAAGAGCAGCAACTCCGCCCCGTTACTCTCGAAGAGGATCTCCCCGAGCTTCGCGCCGTACTTCCGCTGCCGCTTTGAGAGGTTCGACATCGACCAGCCCTGGCCGCCCATCGTTGTCGGTGGAGGAGGAAAGCGAGGGAGAGGGAAAAAAGAGAGAGTCACTCACGTCACCAGTGAGTGAGTCATGCCGCCAAGCGACGTCAACGCGAGGAACATCATGAACGTGGTGGACACACACGCTCAACTTCCCTCAAGTTATAGCCATTGGTGAAGTAAAAAAGCTGGGAAGCAGGCAGCACGCCCGCGCAGTCACGACGGTCACTCAGGCTGGTCCTCAAGTTTCAGTTAGCGCCTTGAAGTCGGGCTGACCTCGAAAGATCTTCTTTTAAGAAAACACCATTCAGACAGATACCATACTCAAATTCCCGCACCACCGGTGACCTCCAGTGTATGCCCCGTCACATACGACGCGAGCGGGCTCGCCAAGCTACACGCCCTCGTGAGGTCGAGACAGACCAGGAGACGGACACCACTCACAAGAGCACCGCGCTCGCCGCCTCATCGGGCGTCCCGCCCCGCCGGAGCGGGATGAGCGGGTTCTTCGCGGCCGTCTCTTCGGGCTTCGCGCCGGGCACACCGAGCGCAACCTCCTTGCCGTCAATCACCATCGTCGCACCTGCCTCTTTCGCCGCAGTCAGCCTGGCGGCAGTTAGTATGGGTACCAAATCTCGACAGAGCGACGCACCGGGTGTGGATGAGGCCGAACGCAATCGTGTTGGCTCGCACACCATACGGGCCCCACTCCTTTGCGATGGTTTTGGTGAGACCGGGGATCGCGGCTTTGGCTGCGGCGTAGTTCGCCTGCCCGACGTTCCCGTGCAGCCCCGACGTTGACGACACGTTGATAATCGAACGATTCTCGCGTGCTTCGGGCTATAATAGCGGACTCAATTAACGGAGTAAATATGGAAAGGGGAGAGAGACGCACCTTGAGGCGGAAATACGGCGCCGCCTGGCGAATAAGGCGGAACGGCGCTCGGACATGTATCTTCATGATGATATCCCATGTCTCGTCGGGCGTCGTATGCAGCATCTTGTCGAATGTGAAGCCAGCATTGTTCACGATGTGGTTGATCTTGCCGTATTTCCTGATGTGGCACCTCAGCAACGCGTAGTAGGGTTGGCAGAGCGAACCCACGAGACAGTCGCGTCCACAATGCGCTTCGGGAAGTCGTCAGCGCCGACATCGCCTGCCACACTAAGTGCCTCGCCACCCGCGGCCTTGATTTCGCCCTCGACCGTCTCGAGTTTCTTCGCGTCAATGCTGAATTTACGCCCTCAGCCCAGCGAGGAAAGGGGATGTCAGGCACGCACTCGCTGATGACGACCTTTGCGCCTTCTTTCGCAAACAAGAGCGCTATGCTCCTTCCAATACCCTGTACCGCTTCAGCCTGGCCTTCCTCCCACTTAACCGAAGCGTACCTGCCCAGCCCCTGCCCAGACTCGTCAGCGCCGCTCGGCCTCGCTGTCGACGTGGCACTCACCGGTGACGATGGCGACCTCGCCTGCAAGCAGGCCACGGCCGTACGCGTTGCTCAGATGCTGCGAGACTTGTTCAAGGCGGGCAGACATATCCGGGGTGGTCGGGGTGGTGGTGAGGGGAGAAGTCTAAGAAGCGGCGTTATGAGGGGCTGAGTAATGATCCGATTCCGGGCCCGGGTATCGCTGCTTACCGGTCGCCCCGGCGACTAGCGCCGACTATGTCCGATTGTTCGGGAAGGCGGGTGGTGACTAAGGGACCGACCGTTGGCTTCCCTGATGGTACGGCACGAGTCCGGAAGCCGGCTGGACTATGTCCAACCCTCCGTATGGGGGCAAAAATATTTCGCCGCTTCTGGGGTGGGCGGCTCGGAGGCGGCTGGTGGGCAGCTCTGTGAAAATTGTGTAGACATTATCTCTGTCAATACTTGACATAATAAGGACATTCCTGAGCCGTTCGATAGCCCCCGACGAGCCCTTTCGAACGCGCCACTGAGCGGCTCGAACGGTGGCTTCGTTGTCGAGCATCGCCCTTGGACTTTTTGGGTGGGCGGCTCGGACGCGGCGGTGGGCGGCTTTTTGCCTCATTTTCGCCGCCCTCTTTTCGCGGTGGGCGGCTGGTGGCAGTGTTGACGCGGCTGTGGGCGGCTCTCGCACAACTGAGCGCGGCTCTCGTGTGACAGAGGGCGGCTCTCAGCCAAGCGAGGAGGGCGGCGATGAACACGGCCGCCCACCCCAGTAAGCGGAGAGTTCACTTTCGGGCGTGCCCGATGGGCGTGGGCCTGCGCCAACGGGCGTGGATGGGCGTGGGCGTGGGTTTTGGCGGGCGATCAAAGCCCACGCCCGTCCATCAGGCGTGCCACGCCCATCGGTCGCCTTGGCACGCCCGTTTGTCCCGCTTGGCACGCCCGACAAACGGGCGTGGGCCTCCATACATAGCAAGTCCTATGACTTGTCTGAGTGCTTTGACGCAGCCAAAACGCTTCAGAAGGCCAGTTGGCGGCGAGGTGACCGCGAACCGTAGCCACCGACATAGGCCGGCCGGCCGGACCGTGCTAGACCCCGCCCGCGACCCCGCGGACGTCGGCGCAGCACATGACGACGACGAGCACCAGCAGGAGAGCCGCCTGCGGTGGTCACTTTCCCAGTCCGGTCTGGCGCAGGGGCGGGCGCCGGCGCGGGTATATCGACGCTGTGCTTGAGTTCCGGGCCCCAGGCCGCGCCGTCTCAGTGAACTCGCACCCTGCCCTCCGGAAGGTGGTAGGTGGGTGCTCCATGCTCGCTGTCACTGCCGCAAGGTTGGGACAAGCCGTAGAGGCGTTGAGAGGCTTGCCAACACCTCTTGGCATCATGAAAGGCAGCGATCAAACATCTTTGATGGCTGTTAATTCCAGCCGACAGGCACATCTCACTGTGGGAGTTCCGGAATAAACGGGGCCCCTTTCGATCGATTATATGCCTAAAATCAATGTACCAAAAAAAGAAATTTTTTTGGGTACCTCTATTTGTGCCCCCCAAAATTGTCACAAATTCACCTACTTATATGAGGAATATGTGCTATAAACAGACTTGTTTTTGTCACCTGATTTTGGGGGTATATCAAATGGCCTTTTTGGGACCTTTTTTGCCATCTAAATGGGGACTAAAAAATCTTCACTTATATTGACTTATATGCACTTATATGACATATATCAGGGCCCTGGATCATATAAGTGAATATTTTTTGGTTCCCATTTTGATGCAAAGACTAGTCCAAAAAAGGGTGTTCAATCTGCCCCAGAACTGGGTGACAAAAATAAGGTCTATTTATAGCACGTATTTCTCATATAAGCAGGTAAATTTGGGACGGTTTTTTTGCATGCAAATAGAGGTATTAAAAAAACTACTTTTTTTGGTACATTGATTAGAGGTGTATAATCGATCGAAAGGGGCCCCGTTTATTCCGGAACTCCTGCAGTGTCTGGACGATGAAATGGTATCCAATAGACATCGAGCCGTGGCAATACCTGACCTTGTGCCGATGGTAAGGCGCCGAAGGTGTCCCACGCCCGCCCACGCCACGCCCACGCCATCACGGGCGTGCACGCCCGTTGGCGCAGGCCCACGCCGTTTGGCCACGCCCATATGCGAAGTCTCCAGTAAGCGGCAGCTGCGCCGCCGCTCTCGTTCGTCGACCTCACTACTACTCGTCATCACAAGGGCGTTGCCTTCGTCGCTGGCCACTTCTCCGGGTCGTGAATGTATGCTGCATTGCGCTCGCCGTCGTCATCATCGCCATCAACGTTCGCCGGCGGCGTCGACGCCGCGGGCTGACAGATGATGAGTCATTCGACTGCATCTTAACTTTGCTCCACCACCATCCCGCTCTGGCTACTGTGACTTCACGAATATTGCTTCCGCCAGCAACCTATTGTTGGTGCCCCCAAAGCACATGGTAGCTCGCCGCTGCAGCGCTAGGTACGCGGCTTCATCAGCGGCTCGGTGATTCACACTCAATGTATACCTGAGCCTGAGCCCGACAGTCTCCTCAGTCCTGCAGGCTGCTCCTATCAGCGCTCGCCCAAACGCGCAGTGCAACTCGCCGGCTCGCATTCTGCGGAGATATCTCGTCACATGCTGGAGTAGCTCACCAGCCTCGACTTTGCGCGGCTCAGCAGCGGCTGCCATTCTCCAACACGGATCGTCTCCCTCGGTGAGCATCCGCTGCGCCTGCGCCACTCCCGCACCGTCGCCGACACCCTCCCGCTGCTCACTGTGCAACCTGTGCACAAGCTGCTGGCCATGGGGAGCCCCCGTCTTTTGAGCTTTGATGGTGAGCGGCGGTGCGCGGGCGGTGCCGCCGGTGTGTGGCGATATACATCCGCTTCCTCTATTCTTGGCAGAATGGTGGGCGGCAATATGACATGGGGTGGGCGGCTTGAAATTGGTGGGCGGCTCGGTGGGCGGCTCGGTGGGCGGCTGAGCAGCAGTACAGGGAGCGGCAGTACAGGTGAGCGGCAGTACGCGATGCGGGCGGCTGTGTATACTATTTGAATAATGAATGGCGGAGGCTAGAGCTTACACTAATGCAGCTCTTTCCTTCACGTTTTCTGGCGTTGTCTGTGACTGTGTGACATCATCAATCACCACGTCATCGCTTCTGTCTTTGACTCCCATGCTGAGCGCGCACCAGTTACTCACCATGGTTCTGTGGCTCGCTCTCGTCTATACCCAACGTCTCGCTGTGATCTCTGCTCTGTATAAGCACTTTGGACACACTCAAATGTTGCCAATATCCTCTTCACGCTCTACAGCGCCGCAATCATCTATGCCCTGGTACTCCTTCATGTGCTCTTCCTACAAATCTCCAAGATCACCAAGGAGAGGCACCAGAAGCTGAGAAGGATGCCCAGGGTAGGTTTGTACTACGATAAAGACGGTAAGTCTTCGGAATGAATGATAAATGGCTCGGGACTGAAGTTGACCGGTACAATAGGCAAACCAAAGGGACGTGTAATCGAGGAGATCGACTCCCACAGGCACGTTGCGCTGCGGAATCGAAGAGCCACTTCTGCTCCTGCACCCTCCGTCATCCTGTCAGCGCGGTCGCTCTCACCTATTCGATCGCCAGAGCTGCCAGTCGCCGAGCATATTCATTTGTCTGTGTGGGATGGCTTTCCCAATGGCCATTTCTGTACCTCTTTAAGTGCCCAGCAGGTCAAACAAACGAATGGTCTTGCTTTTCACTGGGCAAGTGACAAGATTCGTGGACATAAGGGAACGCGAAACGCGAAAGATCCTCGTAAAGGGCTTCAGCACCGCTACTTATGCGCCGGTGTCATCATTTGCGAGGCTCCCAAATGCAAGGTTGCTATTCTTCCGAGCGACGACATTATGCGACAGCTGCAGGCTGCTTGCCTTTGCGGTGCAACTCTGCATCACCTCAAGTGTCCGATCGAGTGGTCGATGACTTTTTATCAGGCCGGTGCCTTATTCTCTCACTCAGGAATCCATTTACATGGCAGATACACGCATACTTTACCCACCAAACAGCGCCAGCACCTCGAAATTGAAGAGCTTGTTTTGCATACCCCAGTGAACCTAGACGTATATACAGACTCCCCGTCGTCAGACGAGTCAGAGACGTCTCAGGAAGACTTGGGGCGTGACTTCAAGTTCGCGGAGGTTGCAGAGGCTGCGTCGCAACAAACTAAGCTTGACACAGACGATGAATTGGCACTGGACCCATTAGCAGATGATGCGTGCGACGATGACATGGTGACCGGAAGTAATTAACTTCATATTTCCATAACTACAATATCATGATCATTTTCCGAGTCTTCCATTTATCACATCACTCTTCTGCCTCTTTGTCCGCTCCCCCACTGCGTAAAATGCTGGTATGCTTTGCCGTGAAGCACCAGCATCCTGATTCATACAGTACAGCATGGGCTCGAGCGACTTACGAACTGGCTCTTTCCAGAAGAGATTTCCGATGAGTCCGAGGAGGCACAGAGTGATGGTACCGGTAACGTTCCAGCGGAGTTCAGGGACTTGCCATTATGTATGTACTTCCCCGCACTTGCTGACGCTGGCTCAACTGCATCAGTCCATGCTTCTGCACTGCAAGGCATAGATACTCGGCTTGTGGTGGATCAAACAGGCAATCGGGCATATTTTGATGTTGCGCCGCCAGGCTCAAGTGTGTCATGCCCGGACTATGCTGTTTAGGCTCATGCATGGCACCCAGGGCCCAATGTTTCTGCGACACGCCAGCACATGCCCAGGCAGAACAACTCACAACAAACCAGACTCGAACCCAGACAATCAAATGCAAACAATCCGATTCCCAAACGACCTACAAAGCGACGCAAGCGCAAGGCTTCTGCTTCAGACTCATCAAATGACAAAGAAAGTGATGGCAATAGCAGCGACAGTCTGACATCGGGAGGCGAAAACTTGCGGCGGGCCTGGAACCCACGACCTAATGGTCAGTTTGTGCGAAAGGTCCCTCGGGGATGGTTTGAGAAGCACAAATTCGCCCTTCACGGTGCCTGGCGAGCGGAGGGCCGGAAACAAGCTGATGTCGGTGGGAGCAGACGCGCGGCAGGGCT